CATTTATAGCACCTTTGAGCTTATGTGAGATATTAAATGGTTAAATTTTTAATAACTTGTCAGCCACACGAGATTAGAATCATTCGTTTTTTTTAATTGCGCCAGATATGAGTCCTTAAGGACCTACACGAGACTGAGCCGAAGTTGAATTTCAAAACATAGTAAATTTACGAACCACACATCAAAATAAAATGCGGCCAAAGCGCTCTTTTGTTTTACGGGCGGTAAAAAAAAATTTTATCAGGCTCGCACGGGTTCCTATGGATATTATCTTAGCACAACTATAAATGTTGTTAACGTTTGATAATTACAATGTTCAAATCTCTAATCACTAAATTAAGAGTTCAAATTTTTAAAAATTTTTTGATACTTTGAACAATTACTCTATGTTCTACTGAGTGAATTCGTTCTTCTAAACTCTCCAATGTATCAGATTCAAATATCGGCACTTCTTCAACCATTAATGGCTCCCCCTTGTCAACCTCTGGAATTATTTTATGAACCATAACCCCTGTTTTTGTGATTTCTCCCTTCTTAAATGCCTCGTAAGTTCGTTCGATGGCATTTACTCCATCAAATTGACCCGGTAGGGCCGGATGCAAATTAATGATATTATCATTAAAATGGTCTATGAATTCACTTGATAATACAAGCATCCACCCTGCAAGAACGATTAAATCAGGATTATATTCTCTAACTTTATTAGCCAAATCTATGTCATATTCTATACGAGTTTTTCCGGCGTCTTTATAAGGTTTCAAAGGAAAAACAAGTGTAGGAATTCCTGCCTTTTCGGCACGTGTTAAACCGTAGGCGGATTGTTTGCTAGAAACAACCAAATCAATTTTACATTCAAGAGTTCCTGATTGTATTGCATCAATTATTGCTTGAAGATTAGAACCGTTTCCGGATATGAAGACGATAATATGTCGTAGCATTTTTTTTGAATTGTAAAAGCACAATGACGAATTTATAGATCCATTTGTGACTTGTCAGCCAATCAGATAGCTGTTATCAAAATATTTGTTCGATATTCTTAATTCACGACCTGAATCAATGGCTCATAAACCTCCTGAAGACTTTTCAAAGATTTTAGATGATTTAATTTCGGAATTAGATATAATTGAAAAAAGTGGTATCGAAATCTTTAGTAAAATGTTTGTTTTATGCAACTTTTTTTTTTAAAAAAAAAAGAGTTTGTGATTCCGATATTAATGAATATAATTAACAAATATATAGAGAAAATTCATTTTCCTATCCATGCCAAATTTCTTCCATAGCAGGTAACTACCAATCTTCTTTTTCTGATATGCTCTTATACTTATATATTATTCCTTTCTTACCAACATGAATAAACAGCCGAGCTAAGTACCCTTCTTGCAGCAATCCAACATTTTGAAAGTCGTGCAAGATCTAATGGAATAACAAGTCTTTGTACCACTTCGGATCAAGTTGATACAACTTCTACAACAAATACACCTATGACAAAACAAAAGCTAAGTGCCATGATTGAAGAAAGAAAATCAGCTGCGGATGAATTGTCTAAAGAATCAAAACGTATCGCAGACAATGCCAGAGCCGAATTATTAGGTTAACAAATTTTATAAATTGTATATTTGTAATTAAGGCTTAAGAGGTTTCTTTAAGCGTCTATTTTTAACGTGTTTGTTGGGCCATATAATTTATTAAATTTATATTTTTCACATTAAAAAACAACGATTTGAATTTGTAAACATTCAAAAAAAAATAAGATTATAAATAAAATTAGTTGATATTGATTGTATATACTATGAAATAAAAGTAGCTTCGCTAAACATTTCTCCTTTGTAGGAAATCTCTTCATTATCACCAACTTTAATATAAGCTGTAGCGTCGTTGAACCATTGGTATACGTATGGTTTGGCGACGAATGCTAATAGAATAAAGAAATAACATTAAGTTATGTGTAGTCATGAAAAAAATTTTTTTTCTTAATTTATCTACCTTGCACAATTTTTTTCAAAAAATAAGGGACTTCATTTAACACATCAATTTTATCCATCAAAACTTTTGGTTTAATTTCTATTCTTGCTGTAAAATTTTCTTCAGTATCTAAAGTCCGTCCTTCCCATGTATATCGAATTCGATTGGGGATATTATAACCGGTTTCTTTATCTAATGTTGTTTGCATGAAGTGGGCTTCATTGTTCACCGATACACCTACCAATTTATTGTTTAAAATTAATCCTCCTTGATTAACCTTTATACTTCCGTAATGAGGTGTGGTTTCAAATTCACACATAGCTAAAGATGCGATATCAGAATGAAAACTAACAAAATTCCAACGAGAAGCTATCAAGTGTGGTCTCATCCCTTGAATCGCGTGAACAAATAACCCAACTCCTGTAATATCAAAAGCTTTGCCATCGACAACAATGTTTCCTTTAACATTGCCTTTTGGCCAAAATTTATGTTCAACAAACCCTGTTGACTTGTCTTGTCCGAAATAAGTCTTGCCTCCTCCAATTTTAAATCCACGATCCACTCGTTCAAATTCGAAAGAGACAATTAACTCTTGTTCATGTTTAAGAGTAACTGTATATTTACTACATTCAGGATTGAGAATGATGGACATATTATCTGCCTGAGCTGAACGTCGATCTGGTGATAATTTAAAATTGGACATATTGACTGATTTAAAAGTATTAATTCCTGCCCCAAAGAAGCGTGCGGTAAATTGAATTGTTGGACTCCACAAGCTATAAGCAACCGTTTTATTTTATTTTGAATTATTGATGGTTTTAAACAATGTAACCAGCGATTCAGATATTCACATACCCAATGTTGGAGTGAATCATTTGGACAAATGCAAAATGACCTTCTTTGGTTACCAGATAAAATGTCTGAGTTTCGGTAGAGGCTCCAGACGCCAAAGTCCATTCGAGATCTTCAGGAGAAACATCAGAATAAAGATTATCTTTGGCCATTTCACTGGCAATATGAAGATTTCTCGACATTCCAACAACTATATTTATAATAAAAATATTTAATTGAATTAATTTTACAAAAAAAAAAAAAAATTATGATACGTTAAGGGCTTCTTTGGTAACAAATATAACAGATAAATAGAGATCGAATTACACCAATTATACGTAATATTGACCAATCAGAAGCGTCAAATACCTCACTTTGGGAACTCGTGAAATGAGAAACGGCGAATTTTAGCCCTGATCATGATAAATCATTTCGCTAATAATTCAAAAATAGACTAGCGCCGACCAAGTCGTCGGCTAAGTCTTAGGCTTAGTCAATCAACAATTGTAATTTGATTGGTCAGACTTGTAGAGATAGAACTTCAATTATTCATTTTATACTTTATATTGTACTCCTCGAAAATGATTATTATTGCTAAAAATTCAGAATTTGGTTCGAAATTTGAAAAACCACTTAACCTTTAATATATTAGCAATCAAAAAAAATAATCGTAAATTTGAAAAGCAGTATTAAATTATTTAATACGTATACAGTATATAGTATGTTGTGAGAATGGAACCTATAATAGGTTCGGAATCCTTTTAAATTAAACCAGAATAATTATACTAAAAATCACAATCCTAACCTTAAAAATTCCGAATCAACATAAATTTCTGTTCTCACCTACGACATATACGTACTGTATATACGTACTAACAAAAATTCCTTTCAAAATTTTGGGTTAGAATCTTTTCGTTAAAACGCCCTACCCTAACCCTAACCTAACCTTCACCCTAACTGTATTTGAAGATTATTTATTAAAATCTTTGATTACAAAATATTAATTGTTTTTGAATATACTGTATATCTAATATACAAAGTCTAAAAATTATCTTTTGGCTTAGATATTGATTTATTTAAATATTTTTTTTATTTATTTTTAAATTACTGTATCTGGTTTTATAAAATTTATTTAATACAGTATTCTTGGTATATACGTATTTTTAATACAGTTTAATAGTTTAATAATACAGTATATTTTAAAATAAATATTACTTTATACTACTGTATATACTGTAGTAATATAAATTAAACTGTATGTATATAAAAAAAGCATTTATACAGTAATTTATATTACTATAAACCAGTATAGTATTGTATAAAAATAAACATCTTGAAAATAATTTTATATACTGTATATATAGTATTATTTTTGTATTATTTTTAAAATCTTTATAACAATACTGGTTTAATACAATACAGTATAAATTTATAAACAAAAAAAAACTCAGATCTTCTTTAGTATAACTGGGCAATATAGAAATATTA